GTGGGTAACCTTTCCCTTCTCCAGGGGATCTTCCCGACCCAGGAATCGAATCCAGGTCTCCTGCATTGCAGGTGAATTCCTTACCAACTGAACTATCAGGGAAGCCCAGGGAGTAGAATAACAACTTCAATTTACTTTTAGTGAAAAAGACAAGACATGTTCATCTGAAGCTTAGCTGAACTTTTTAAATGAATTCACTGCTGTAGGGCAGTTATACACTGCAGCTTTGAAAATCATTGTAAGATGTACTCAAAGACAGGATTATGGAACTCCCATTTCCCTAAGGCACCAGCTTTAAATGCGTTTGTGTTCTGTTTCCTGTGCTTATGTTCTGCTGCCTTCAACTACACGCTGGGGAACAGGAAAATGCCTGAAGTCAGGCCGATCCTTATCTGAAAGTCCAGCTGGCCCACCACCATCTGTCCAAGTAGCGGTTGTCCAGAGATAGATGGAGATCCTATCCAGACGACCTCTATAAAATGTCAGCCTCCTCCAATGTCAGCTGCAGAAATGTCAATTCTCAAGATAATTGTTTAGAAATGTATCTGCCTCCACTGAAGCCTTCCAGATGTTTTCTCTTAGATAAGATAGCTATTTCTTATCATCAGATTTATTCTGGCTTGAACTTCACTCTGAAGTTTCATAATTGGAGGGAGACAATTGAGGATTCAGTTACTGATTTTTAATTAAGTAGATCTGGACCCAGATCTCAATGCTTTCTATGAGTTTGTGTTTCCAATATTTCTTTAGCCAAACATTGTGCTTAGTCACTCAGTCGTGTCCGACTCATTGCAACCCCACGGACTGTAGTCCACCAGGCTCCTCTGTCCATGTGATTCTCCAGGCAAGAATACTGGAGTGGGTAGCCTATCCCTCCTCCAGGGGATCTTCCCAACCCAGGAATTGAACCAGGGTTTCCTGCATTGCAAGCGGATTCTTTACCAGCTGAGCTACCAGGGAGGCCCAACCAACATTTCCTTTCTCTAAAGACAGAGCTCTTTTGTAGGAAGTGTTTCTTCTTTGGTTAGGAGGTTAGAGTGACATTTGTTCTCTGGCACAGAGTGGGTCTTCCAGAGTGCTTCTAACACAACTTGACTGACGAGGAAGTTGCTGATGGGTGGGAGTTAGCTCAGTGGTAGAAAAATGAGTAGTAACAAGGAAGATGGTTAGTTTGTGATGCTAAAGAATATGTCAAGGTTAAAGTCATAGACTATCTCCAAAAAAATGAATTTTAAAATATGAATATAGTAAACAGACATATGAAACTATTTCATTGTTACAGAATTCTGCCTTTTTCTTCCCCTGTATCCTACTATTGTTGAAATTCAGAAATAGTAACATGGCAATAGTACTTTTTGGTAAAGAACCCTTCCTTTGTTAATATTTGTCTTTATATTTCCTCAAAGACATAGGCTTCCATTTTCATTTTGCCTTTGAAGAGGCAGAAGCACAGAGCAGTTATGCTATATTTAAATATCAAAGTGGGGAATCAGAGCAAGTATAACCATTCCATTTCCTATGCCACAAACACTGAAAGATAGTTACTCATATCATATTGTGTTTACCTCAATTATTTGACTATTTATTCATATAATATGTTTACTCATATAATATAGAATATATAGAATATGAATTATATAACTCATATAATATTATATTTACTTCAATTATTTGACTATTTGGGCCAGGATTATCTGGCAATAATTTTAGTTCTCCATTTTCTTTATTCTGTGTGTTCATTTTATGAGTCAATGCACTCTATTATAGTTTGATAACTGGAAAAAGCTATTTTTGTATTGGTCAGTTATTGCCACAGTAATGCTATATAACAGACCATCCAAAATGCAGTGGCTTATACCTGGAATATTCATTTTATTACTTATGGATCATCAGGCTGGTTTGCCTGCCTGTTTCAGGATGCAAGTTGAGTGTTTGGCTCTATAGTACAGGCTAGGGCCAGGTCTGCTTCCCATGCAAGTCCCCAGGGTATGAACTCTTGGTGGATCACACAGGCACAAAAGTCCAAGCCAAAGAGCATTAGCACATTTAAATGTGCTCTTCCTACTTCATGACTGCAGATATTCCAATGTCTCCAGCAAGTCACATAGTCAAATCTAGCATCAAGTGGACAGAAAAATATACTCTGTCCATTCTAGAGCACTGCAGAGACAGACTGAAGAGTTCGGAATCCTGCAGTCTCCCACTAAGCCTGTGCCAGTGCACACCAGTGAGCTTGCAGATTCTGCTCTAGGATTCCCTGAAGGCAGGGTGTCTCTTTCTTAAGATATTAGTAGCAGTAGTAGCAATAGGAGTAGTCTTGTATCTAGTAAGTGTGTATTTTATCTTGTATATATCAGCAATAAGTGTGTATAATGGCACTTGCAGTGCTCAGTATAATTGTCATTCTATCCTTATTAACTAGTAACTATTAATAAGTGTTAATAGTAACAATTAATATGGTGATTAAAACATAGCTTAAGTTTTTTAAAAAATAGCATTTAGTTGTTAGAGTTGATGTATTAATAGACTAAAGCCCAGCAGTCTGGTTTTCCTGCGTACAGACCTCCAACTCTGCACTTCCCCTACTTTCTCCAGCCCAGACCACAGCCATGTCGTCAGGTCTGGTTTCATCTCCTCCAGATGCATGTCTAGGTTGGACTTGATGAGAAAGTGCATTCATTCTGACCCTACCACTCCTCTGATCAAAAACCTTTCAAGTGAATCCCTACTAGCTATAGAATAAAGTCTATAGATCAAATTCGATAAATGTAAATCCTTGTCCACTTAACCTTTGGTTACAAACTCTTTCAGCCTGGACTTGCCATTACCAACCCCATTTCTCTATGGTCTTGTCCTGTTTATCCTTTAAGATACAGATCAAATGTCATCTCCTCTTTAAACATTCTAGATCCTCTTGGCCTGAAGTAATAGTCTCCCTTTCTTGCAAAACTCACCTCTGCCACTTTTATGTCACCTGTGATTTTCTAAATGGTATCATCATTATTGAATTATGACATCACTGCTATTGGAATACCATTCATCTTTTCCCATCTCGACATTAAATATAAATACAGGTAACTAATAAGAATCTACTATATGGCACAGGGAACTCTACTCAATACTCTGTAATGGCCTGTATGGGAATAGAATCTAAAAAAAGTGGATGTATGTGTATGTGTGACTGATTCACTTTGCTGTACACCAGAAACGAACACAACATTGTAAACGAACTACACACCAATAAAAATTAAGAAGTAATAAATATATTTCCTTGACTAACAAAATATTATTTGATAGGTAAATAAATTTCCCAATTCATTAATACCCTTAGTAATTGTTCTTCCGTGTCAGGCTTTTTAATAAGCTTAAGTGGTTGCCTTCGGTAACAGTCAGTCCACATTGGAGCAAAAACTGTGCAATCGGCACTTTTTTCTTCACTTTGCAGACCTGTTTCCTAGGAGTCCCTGGTGGCTCAGCTGGTAAAGAATCTGCCTGCAATGTGGGAGACTTGGGTTCAGTCCCTGGGTTGGGAAGATAAGATGGAGAGGGGGACGGCTACCCGCTCCAGTATTCTGGCCTGGAGAATTCCATGGACTATATAGTTCATGGGGTCACAAAGAGTCAGACACGACTGAGAGACTTTCACTTTACTTTTATAGGAATAGAGTGATCAGCATTGCTTAGGGTTTCAGAATAATTTTGTTCCAGATGCTGCTTATGGATATATCAGGGACTGGACGTTTGGAAGCATTTCAACTCCAGGAAACACCTGACCGTGCAAATGATCTGTAGTTGTACTTGACTTAGAAGCTATGACAGGGTAGCTTGACTTACTAAATAAGGCGCCTATGCTGGAAAACGCTCTGAGAGTTTTATATCTTTTGCATCCCATGTCGGCAGCCATTGTTTGCCTTTCCTGCCAAGAGCCAAGTCCTGAACCATAGCGCCCCCTAATGTTAAAAGCAACCCTTTCACTTTTAACATTAACATTAATATTAATATTAATAAATGAAATGAGACAAGTAAATAAATGAAAGACCAGTGTCAGTGAATTTAGCTATGCAACTTGTAATGCTGAGTATTTGTGTAGATTGCAAGCTTTATGAATAGTACTTTGAATGCCTATTTCATTTCCATTCCTCCTAGAGCTGTTTTGACCTTAATTCAGCCTCATATATTCCTTTCAAAATTACCAATAAAGTTTTTCTTCCTTTCCAAAGCATCAGCTTAGGCTGTGGAGTGGAAAAAACTAAATCCTGTTCTCTGAGGAGTCTGTGCCATATTTTTTTTTTTCATAGCTAAGCACTGACAGTATTCTTTATCTCTTTTGTATTTTTATTCTGAATTTCAGAGTTTTCATTTCAAAGTAGATGTTTCTCAAAGTTCTTCTTCAGCTTCCCCCTATTTTTGGAAACGGAAAGACTCAAAAATAGAGTACAGTTTAATATTAAGTGGAATGGAGTGTTAAATGCCTCTCAGTCTCTTCCTACCAGGCTATTTAAATAAAAGGTATCTTGAGAGCCAATTTTCTTGGCATGTGGGGGATATTCTTCTTAAATTCAGTTTTCAGTCTGATAGTGTTCATGAAAGCAGAACATAAAGGTGAAACGTGTTCACAGTTTCCATCAGTTTTGTTATGCAAAATACTTTATTTTGTATAAAATTGGATTTTGTAAGGGTAGAAAAAACTCCGGTAAATCATATCAAGCATTCTAAAAATGCCTGTAGGACCATATCTGTTTACCCACTTTTGTAGGCAACTGGATGTGAGTTGGAAGAGGCTGACAGATCAGTAATTGAAGAGGAAATAAATAACAAAGGAGCTAAGGCAGGGGCACCCACACTTGCATAAGCTCAATGAAGCCTGCAGCAACCTGATAATGTTCATCAAAGTGTGACAGAAGAAAGAAACTATATGACTTTAAAAATCCTCCACATAAAATTTAAGATTCACTTTCTTTGCTCTGCATATTGATGTGTCTTTTTTTATTTTAACACAGGGCCTCAGCAAGGATGTGGTGGTTATCTGACAGGTTCAGATCATACCTTTGCTTCCCCTGATTCTGATTCTAATGGGAGGTATGACAAGAATTTAAATTGTGTGTGGTTCATCACTGCCCCCGTGAACAAGCTCATCAAACTCACCTTCCATACATTTGCTCTGGAGGCAGCAACTACTTTGCGAAGATGCATTTATGATTATGTCAAGGTAAGGCTATTATGTTCCTTAACAAGAGTCTTCTAATCCAGACTTTTCATGATGTATTCCAGTTTATACCACACATAAAGTCCTGAAAGTTGTGAGTACTATTAATTGTTTAAGTGACCTGTTCTTCGATGATATAAAGCAGCAGTCTCCAACCTTTTTGGCACCAGGGATGTGTTTCATGGAAGACAGTTTTTCCATGGATGAGGGCAGTAGAAGATGGTTTCAGGATGATTCAAATGCATTATATTTATTATACTAAAGCATCTGCCTGCAGTGTGGGAGACCTGGGTTCAATCCCTGGATTGGAAAGATACCCTGGAGAAGGAAATGGCAACCCACTCCAGTATTCTTGCCTGGAAAATTCCATGGACAGAGGAGTCTAGTAGGCTACAGTCCATGGGGTCGCAAAGAGTTGGACACGACTGAGCAACTTCACTTTCTTTCTTATTTCTGTTTTGTGGCAATCTCAGGATATTCTGCCTTGACTTTGGGGGTTAGGGTTCATGTTCCTATGAGAATCTAATCCTGCAGCTGATCAGAGGCGGAGCTCAGGTAGTGATGAGAGCTATGAGGAGCAGGTGTAAATAGAGATGAAGCTTCACTCACTTGCTCACTGCTGTGTGGCCTGGTTCCTAACAGGCCATGGACCAGTACCAGTCCATGGCCTAAGGGTTGGGGGTCCTCTGGTGTAATGAATGATACTGCAACTGCCCTATCTTCAGATCAAAATAATCTCTAACAGGAATGAGTCAAAAATTTTGTGTAGCTTCTAACATTAAGATTCACTGTTCCTCCAAGCCTTGTTAAGAGACAATTTATGGCATGATGCGTCATCTGGAAAGACACTGTCAAAGGATTTTAGGCAAAATCTAAAAAAAAATGACAGTGTCTCTATGCAAATCATCACTCCTTCCTTTATCTATTTTTAAAGTTTGGATATTTGCTTATTTAATATATTACTTTTATATGTGAAAAATGTCTTACTTCTGAAGTCCCATTAGAAGTAAATCAAGAAACTTTTAAATATTTAAATGACTCTTTAATATTAAATCATTGTATTTATCAGGCTATATGCATTTAGATTAAAAGTGCTAAGCAGCATCAATCAATATACACCACTACACTCTTGGGGGTAAACAACAAGGCACTATTTTTGTTCAGGAGGAGTTTAAAGTTGATTGCACAGTTAAAGGATGATACATTCGAATCAACACCAGGTAGTTCAGGAGAGTTGATACTCAAGTGCACTGGGCGGAGGCTTGAAGCCATGTGCAAGTTTAAAAGGGAGGATGGGTCATGATGATTTGGTGTGAACAAGAAAGATACAGAGAATGAAAAGAACCCTTATTCAAGTTGGGACAGAGGGCATTCTAGGTGAGGCAGACGTACAAAAAAGGCATTGAAGTTGAATGAGTGAAGAGGTTGACTTTATCAGGGCAGATTATTGTTAAAGCAGAGCAAGAAATAAGACTGCATAGGCGGAGAAATGCCCAGACTATAAAGGATCTAGAACATCAAGCTAGTGCATTTAGATTTTATGTAGTTGGAAATAAGGAGTGATTGCATGTTTTCCAATGAGTGATAAGATGAGAACAGCATTTAAGAAAGATGACTCAGCATTCTGGGTGGATGTTCCGGGGAGAGGCTGTAGTTAGGAGCCCAGGAAGAAATTACCTTTAAGTGAGGAGGGTGCAGAGATAGTGCAGATGACAAGTTGGATGTGAGGGAAACTTAAGTTCAAAAATCATCTTAAATTTTGCAGAAATTGGTTTTAAAAGAAAAGGGAGGAAAAGTCATAGACAAAATACACATTTGAGCACTTAATTATAGGAAAGAAAGAAAAGTTGCTTAGTCACGTCCGACTCTTTGCAACCCCATGGACTGTAGCCTACCAGGACCCTCCATCCATGGGATTTTCTTCCCGACCCAGGGATCGAACCCGGGTCTCCCACATTGTAGGCAGACGCTTTACTCTCTGAGCTACCAGGGCACTTAGTTATAGATGGTCTTATATTTTCACTGTGAAAAGCGCCATGCCCAGAAGACCAAAAGAATGTCAGTACTCTTAGGAGGAGGCCATGGTTTTGCAGGAATAAGTTTAATTTGGATGATGGCACGGCTGACAAGTGAAATTGCCCAGGGACAGAGAATGCCAGCACTCCAGCAAGGGGGCAGTGACACAAATAGAGAGAAGGCAGCAGAGAGAGTTTCTTAAATCAGGAGAGATGCTTTCTTTGAGAGAGACAGCACGGCACTGAACAGCCAGGCTCCCGCTCAACTCCACAAAAGGTCCAGGGTGAGACAGCTGGAAAGAACAGAAGAATCAGGATGAGAAACAGACAAGTCACAGAAAAATGTGCCAACCAGGAATAATGCAGTTATCCCTGAAGTCAAGGGGGAAAAGGCTTTTACCAAGGATGGATGGTCAGTACTATTAAATTGTAAATTAGAGGCCAGGAAAGGTTAAGATAAAGAAAAACTCATTAGATTGGATGACAACCATTTAAATAAAGTATTGGGACAGAAGCCAGATCAGAAGGAATACATGAAAGACTACAGATAACAAGAAATGTCAGTTCAGGGTGAATTCTTCCTGTCTGGAATGAGACCAGAGTGGCCAGAGCAGCAATGAGCTGATGTTCAGGGCTATTTGAGCGCTAATTTTACCAAAGGATAAATACATTTTCAGGGCAGGTAATATGGACTCAAACCCAACTTTGGCACCTGACAAATTTCCTAATATCCCTGATTCTCATCACTCCATCTGTTGAAAAATGAACAAACAAAATCACACAATTGTACCTGTCTTGCAAGACTGTTGTGAGGATAAAAGATAAGGTATGTTAGAGTATTTAGCACTGTGCCTGTCATATAATTTGTAAATAAATTTATTTCTTTTTCCCTCATTTTGGGTGACTCTACATGGCCATGAAGGCTGTAGGATCTCCTTATCTTAAAATATTATGAATAATTGATTTACATATACATTATTATGAATGTAAATACATGGGGGATGTTTAGAATGTGGTTGTGCCAGGAGGAGGCTGACTGGATTTATTCTCGAGGTATGTTTCTATGTGTGATTTGATAACTATTGGAAGCTCCCTGACAGTCCAGTGGTTAGGACTCTGCTCTCACTGCTGAGGGCCCAGGTTCAATCCCTGGTTGAAGAACTAACTAAAATCCCACAGGCTGTATGGGGTGGCAAGAAATTTTTTTTAATTAAAAGAACTATTAATTTTATAGATGTTTTCAAGCTATTTAGGACAGACATAACAATACTGAAAACAAGGAGTTATTCTCTGGCTTCAATATAAAATGCCCTTTCTTTTTTAAAAGAAATTCTGCTCAGATCTACTTTTGTTTTCCTTTTTGGGAAAGCAGTTTCCCTCAATTGGCACCGTTTCCAGTTTATATGAATCTGGCAGATCACAGGACAGTTCTTGGAATGTGAGGCCTGGAGGTACCTTTATTAAAGAGATTCACTGTGATAATTGGGACACTGGGCTCATTTTAGACTGTTTCTTAGAGATTCTAATCAAATCAGTTTCTAGAAAAGTTATTTTAATTCTGTAGGTAGATATTTAAGTGAAAACATGCCAAATCCATTATTCATTTGTAATTATATCATTATTGTTTTGAAAGGGTTGACTTGGAAAGTTATTAACATAACTGCAGTAGGGGACTTCCTGGCAGTCCAGTGGTTAGGAATTTGGCTTTCACCACCGAGGGCCTGGGTCATGGAACTAAGATCCTGCAAGCCACCCAGTATGGCTAAGAAGAACAACTACAACAGTAGTAACAACAAAAAGATAACTGCAATAGTAGAGAATTATGTATTTCACTGAGTGGTTCCTGTTGAAATTGACATCACATCCATTCCCTGAAGAGTCACGTGGCATGATTATGTGTTGGGCATTGTGCCTGGCACTTGAGGTGTGAGAATCAGAGATAAGCTTCCTCATGGAGCTGTAAGTGGATGAGACTGATAACATGGCAAAGCCAATAAATGTGATTAACACAGAAAAATAGAGCAAAACAACCGAAGTATGAGCGCTGTTACTCAGGGTTCACAAAGATATTCTAGATGGGATGGCTGAGCTGAATTTCAGGGAAACAGCACAAAAGCAGGCTTCCAATGGGTGATTGGTTATCACAGCGAAGTGGGTGAAGAGGGGCAGCAAGCTGCATGGTGACTGCCCCGCTTCTGAACCTCAGCCTGTTCCTCAGATAAGTCATTCCTTTGTGGAGAGCAGTGAGTGACACAGCAAAGAGGACTCAGCTTTGTGACCATAACCGACATTGCTTTGCTAGGAAACATGGAACTGGAAAAGGAGGGGCTTCTTTCTAACACTGCTCAGCTTCTTCTCAATGCAGTCAGTGCCCCTTGGAAAAACCAGTATTGTCTCATGATCCTTTGACCATCTGAAGTGAAAGCTCATCTGTGCCATAGCCTAGCCATGTATATAATTTCAATTTACAATTATGCTAAAAGCTTTGAAAAGGAGAAATAAAAGGAAAACCCATAAAATAGTGTGTATATCAACATGCAAATGCTGTGACATGACTGTGCTAAGTCACTTGATTAAGTAGTAAAATCCTTCCTAAGTGTGGAATCATGACAAATGCATACATAGAAATTTGGACTGGTATGAGTACATAGGCTCTATTTGCAACTTAAAAGATAATGGCAGTACCCATCCACAATATGAATTTCCAAAATTCAAATCAAATAGTTCTAAATAAAACAAACTACAGTCTTCCCTCAATTTATATAATAATTGCCTTCTTGGAAACTTGGTTCTTACTAAAGCAGTGCAAAATATTTTTGTGTTTACATGCAGAATGAGCTTAGGTTCTGGGATCAAATGATTTTAAACAGTTTTCTTGCACACGTGTCTGGCAGGACATTCATAGGTATGTGGGACTTCTAAATATTCACACTGCACACCTGTCCTGTGAATTTTGCTGGAATTTTGCAGTGTGGCTTCTAAACACTAAGTGCCAGTTTCAGCCTCAGACCATGATGAGCCAAAAACACCACACTTTTGCAAAAAACTCCCTAGGAGATGATACTGTTCTCATGGAAAACCTTTGTCTTAACCCACTGGACTCAACCATCAGTCTATGATCAGCCATGGGAAGTAGGGGCTGTCCAGTTTTGGGGAGAAGGTCAGTAATTAGTGAGGTGTTAGGTCGCCATCCTTATAAGATAGCACCTGCTATCCATTCATTCATTCAATGAATGTTAATTTGAGTACTTATTATATTCCCAACACTGCCATAAGCACTGGAAAAGAGCCTGAAATTACATAATAATCATATTAGTAATATTATTGATTTTATATAATAATACTACTTTTGTTGTTATATTAAAAACGCCTGCATTTAGAGCTGATTCTCTTCATTGCTCCTTTCCAAGCTTTTCTAGAGCCTGGACCAAGCTCTAGAACCAAGGCACACAGCACCAGGCCTGGCACACAGCACCAAGAATAAAAACACTTGTTGATATAAACATGATTTTATACAGGCAGCAATGGTTATAATAAAAACCTAGAACCACTAGGACCAAGATAACATTTTCCCCAAAAGATTCTATAAAGTATCCGAGTTCAACCCCAAACCTAAAAATTTACTCTCTACTCTCATTCTCATTACAAATTATACCCAGGCCCGTTGTCCAACAGACTGTCAGAAGTTTCACAGTAAGATCAAAGAATTCATGAAGATACTCTGAGATGCTACATACAGAGTCTTCAAATAAGACTATTAAAATTCCCCTGTTATCACATTCCCAGGAAAATGTTCAGAGACAAAGTCCTAAGGAAACTGATGTCTAAAATTATGAAAAAGAAAATGAAAGTGTTAACTGCTCAGTTGTGTGTCCAACTCTTTGCGACCCCATGGACTGTAGCCCACCAGGCTCCTCTGTCCAGGGAATTCTTCAGGCAAGAATACTGGAGTGGGTTGCCATTCCCTTCTTCAGAGGATCTTCTTGACCCAGGGATCAATCTCAGATCTCCTGCATTGCAGGCAGATTCTTTAGCATCTGAGCCACCAGGGAAAATTACGAAGTTAAATTTAAAAAGAATTAAAGCCCAACATCAAAGCCTCTTGCCCTCATGCATTAAAAATTCATAGAAGTTAAAACACCCAAATTCCCTTCCCTACTTTCTTTAGCTACTCTAAATCAGGGAGGATCTGGCAGTAGCTATCATCAGAAGTTATCTTCCACCAGATTATTTCTGCAGTTCCTTCGGGGTCATAAATAGATTCTAACCGGCACCACCGTGAAAGAGGTTTAAAAGCTGAGAAAACACGGAATTCCTCTCAGCACTTCTCTCCATCCACAAGACTTAGAACTTAATTCAAGCTCCAGGTCTAGGCAGGTATGGCAATGACGTGTGCTCCCAGAATGCACTGTGCAGCTGCTGGTGACGGTGTGGGGCGTCAGGGCGGTCCTCAGGCGCCATTGCTGACCTCGTCCAAGTAAGAGTCCCCATCTGCAGTCCTGCATCTGCACGGTGCACTTCCTGCAAGCCTCTACAGAGTCGCCCTGCCAAGTTCACGGTGGAGGCGTGGCATCGTTAGGGATGGGAGAGCAGGGAACAAACCCTGGCCTGGCTTGCACAGGAGTGCAGAAGCCTCTATCACCTGTCCTGTTTCAGCTCCATTAGGAGAAATCTTACTGCGGCAGTGAGTGAAGTAATGCGAACACCAGCTCAAGGCTGGGCATGGTTGTACAGGAAGTCCTCTACATACGGACCTTCAAACTGTGAACTTTCAAAGATGAGACTGTGTGTACCAGCCCCTGTATGCCGACTGTTGTGCTATATAAACCTCATACAGTACCAAACTATACAGCTGATTGTATTAGGGTACCTAGGCGAACTTTGTTGGACTTAATGAACAAATTGGACTTAACAGACGCACTCTTGGAATGGAACTTGATTGTATGTTGGGGACTTACTGTAATTTCTTTCTATCACCTTGCCCACTTGTCCATTTAAAACCCAAATCAGATCTTACAACTCCTGTAGGAGATGAAGCATGAAGCTTCATGAAGCATATGAAGCATCAGTCTTGTCCCAGTGAACTCCCCAGCCCCACGTCTGTTCTCTCACCTAATCCCCAAGCCGGTGGGTCACAGGGCAGGGAGGTGTTGAAACAAGTCAGGCCTTTTGTCTTCCTGTGGCCTTCCACACCTTGATGCGTCTGCCTGGGGAGCCCTTCCAGTTGTCTCGGTCTGGAAGGGCTCTACTCACTGTTCAGGCGTCTGTGCGGGGTCTGTCCTGACTCAGTTGTATGAGTTCCCCTCATACACTGCACTCTTCTCCTATAGCACTCATATTTTCTCTATTTTATGTATAATTCACACGCACACACATATATTTAATTTATGAACCTCTTCTCATAATCTCTGAGTCAAATTAGTGTCTTAAAGGTATGGGAAGTGCTTATGCCTCCTTGTATAGACAGGACCTAGCTCGGAGGCCTGGCACACAGCACCAAGAATAAAAACGCTTGTTGATATGAACATGATGTTATACAGGCAGCGATGCTTATAATAAAAACCCAACTTGTTTACCGGAAAAAGTGCGTTGCCTAAAACTTGTCAAATCTGCTCTTCTGTGAAATGAGGGGATTAGATAACTCAGCCCCCCAGTCTCTTTCAGCTCTAAAATCTAAAATGTTATTAAAATCATGTTCAAGAAGAGACACAGTGCCCTCTAGTGGGAAATTTATTTTTGTGTTTATTTTGACAAGACTGTTTTTAACCATTTCTGTTTGACGTATTCCCAGCGTTTTAAAATAATGTCAGGGATCATGGTAATGCTGAGGCTTAATAGCACACCATGGTTCTGTTATCAGTTCCATGTTTGGATCCACACACAGATATTTGTTTTAGCAGTGCAATAGGGATTACTCAGATGGAGAATACTTTGTCTTCTAGTGATGTGTTTGAGAGAAATACAAACACTCACAATTTCAACATTTGCTGAAGGCTCCTGTGCCTGGGGATTGTTCTGGATGCCAGTGACATACAGGGAATAGACAGAGGTCCCCTCGCCCACCCAGGGGTTTATATGCTTCATGGGGGAGAGACCAGAAGAAGTAAATAAGCAATAAACAAGGTAGGTCTTGTTATAGTTAGAAAAGAGAGCAGGAAGATACTGGGGGAGTGCCTCCTAGGTAGGGTTGGGCTCTGAGGGGGTGGCATCTGAGCCAAGACCCTATGATGACGAGTGGGCCATCCAAGGGCTGAGGAGAGAGCTCCCAGCAGGAGGAACAGCTCAGAGAGACTTGCCAGGGGATGGAGGAGTTACAGGGAGACCTGGGTTCGATCCCTGGGTCGGGAAGATCCCTGGAAAAGGGCATGGCAACCCACTCCAATATTCTGGCCTGGAGAATCCCCATGAACAGAGGAGCCCGGTGGACTCCAGTCCATAGGGTCACGAGGAGTCAGACACGACTGAGCGACTCAGCACAGCATACCTCAGAGGCGTGGGCAAGCGTGACGAGCAGCCCAGGCCAGACCAGACGGGGCTTGCAGACCATGCTAAAGAGGGTGGGTTTAACTGAAGATGTAGTGAGATCCCTGGGGACATTGCAGGCCAAGCAGGATCTTTGCCTGTTCTAAGCTTACAGATGTTCAGGCAGCTCAGGGGAGAATGCTCTGTGGAGTCAGGGCTATGAGAAATGTTACAACAGTATGGATGGAGGACCACTGTGGGAGCACCGGAGATGGAGCGCTTGGGATAGGGGATGAAGGTGGAGCAGAATAGCTGGGGGTTCAGAAGGAGACAGGGCAGTCGAGGATGGCGGAGGTACTAGGCTTGAGCCATTAACTGACACAAAGAAGACTTGGGGGGCTTCCCTGGTGGCCCAATGGTTAAGACTTCAGCTTCCAATGCAGGTGGTGCAGGTTAGATCCCCGGTGGGGAAACTGAGATCTCACATGGGGCAGGGGAGTGGTCAGGGAAGTCTACTACGTCAGTGATGTTTGAGTAAAGACCTAAAAGGACAGAGGGGAATGAAGCCACGTGAATAAACAGGAGAACATTGCAGGCAAAGGAAACAGCAGATACAATAGTAAGGATGCCAGAGCACCTGTCTAACGCCAGGAGCAGAGCAAACAAAGTGGAGGCAAAGTAGGAGCAACTCCTACTCCTGGAAAAGTCCAGGAGCGGGGGTGGGAGCAGGCTCCATCGGGCCTCAGAGGCCCTCGGAACAGCCTTGAGTGGATGGGGAGGACTTAGGAGAGTTCTTAGCAGAGCAGCAGCCTGGTCTGACTAACACTGAAGCTATGTCCTCTGGCTGGTGTGTTGAAAACAGACCGTAGAGGACTGGGGGCATCCGTGGGAAGATGCGATGAGAATCAGGCAAGAGCTTTCAATGCTTTGGACCTGAGCCGTTAGTGAGGACAGAGGTGAAGGTGGTGATGGGTTTGTGGCTCTAATGAGACATTATTTTTTAAATCAAATATGACTTTCCCAATGAGAAAAAAATTTTAGGCCATCATACTAGATTTTTACTGAAAATCATTATAGCATAATTGATTTAATAACAATTCAGTTTCTAAATTAAAACCAGCATTAAGAACATTAGTGTAAGATTCTTAACTAATGACCTCTTGTAACTTCATGTGCATTTTAGTGTAAAATATGCAACTTCTTTGTGACTAATGGATAACTAATGAGCTGTTTTTCTTTTCAGTTATATGATGGGGACAGTGAAAATGCCAACTTGGCTGGAACATTCTGTGGTTCCACCGTACCTGCCCCCTTTATCTCTTCTGGAAATTTCCTTATAGTTCAATTTGTCAGTGACCTGAGTTTAGAAAGAGAAGGATTTAATGCTACATATACCATCATGGACAGTGAGTAAACTGAGACATTTTTACATGTTATGAAACACATGTGTATTTATGCACTCAAAATAATGATTATATCTATATTCAATGTTAATTACTAACCTCAATGTTAATTACTATCTAAGCTCAATGTCAGTTACTAAACACCCTATTAATTACTTTGTGTTTAATCCATGGTACAAATTTGGTACAATTCTTAGTCAAGAATGTATAATGTAAATCCTTAGTAGAATGATGTAAATACAGTTCCTTTGGGTTGGAAGAACAAGGAAAATAGAATTTTAAATATTATATGTGTGATGAGTTACAAGTAAAATATCTTCTAAGTTGTTTCTTATTTCCTATCTCAGTGCCTTGTGGCGGAACATTTAATGCAACTCGGACCCCACAAAGTATTTCATCACCCAATTCATCAGACCCAGATGTCCCCCTTGCCACCTGTACTTGGGTCATTGAAGCTCCCCAACATCAGCAGGTCGAGATAACTGTGTGGGCATTTCAACTGCACTCTCAAGACTGCAACCAGAACTACTTAGAGTTTCAGGACCCACTGGAGGTAACAATTGTATGAATGACAGTAACATCTATAACCTTTTCATCAGAATTTGCAAAAACATTTGAAGTAATGATGGCATGACTGGATAAGTTCTTGAAGTCACTTCCAGCCTAATGTGCTTTTTAGCCTTTTATGACACCCTCTATTTATAGGCATTAAGAAACCTGAACTTGGTCTGTAGGTCATGTGCCTACTTAACTTCTGGGTGTCTTGGCAAAAGTGCCTGGCCCTGAAGTAGAGAACAGACCTGTGGACCCAGAGAGGGAAGGAGAAGGTGGGATGAACTGAGAGAGCAGCTCTGACATATATATACTACCATGTGTGAAATAGAGAGCTGGTGGGAACCTGCCGTATAGCAAGGGAGGTCAGCTCTGTGCTCTGGAATGACCTAGAGGGGTGGGATGGGGAGTGGGAGGGAGACTCAGGTAGGCAGGGACAGAGGTATCCTTATGGCTGATTCACATTGTCGACCTGGAGAAGGGCCTGGCAACCCACTGCAGTATTCTTGACTGGAGAATCCCATGGATAGAGGAGCCTGAGGGCTGCAGTTTGTGGGGTTGCAAAGAGTCGGACATGACTGAGCAAGTAACATGCATGCACACATTGTTGTACAGTGAGAACCAACACATTATTGTAAAGCAATTATCCTCCAATTAAAAATAAGCTAAAACAAAACAGTGCCTGCTCTTGTGCCCCACTTGCAGAGACTGATTCCCCTATTAACTTGAATTTTAGAAAAACTTTTCATTTTGTATTGGAGTATGGCTGATTAACAAGGTTGTGATAGTTTCAGGCCATTAGCCAAAATTTTTGATGTGCATCTCTGGGGTTCTGCCTACAGTGCTCCAGGCAGAAGCACTTCTATAGTCAGCAGGATCTGTGTGTAGAACAAATTGGAGGGTTCGGTTAAGAAGCCATTTGGTACTAGTCTAGGGGAACTGTATTCATGGTTTAAAAAATAGAGAAAAGTTGTTTTGTTTTTTAAAAAAATGAATCAGTCCGAATTGCTCATGGGGTAAGGTGTTGAAGAGATTGTTATCCATAAAAGTGTGATGGTCACAGAATACCTGAGGATTTGGGCATCAACATCATGTGACTAGGTGGCTGACATAAAGAGAATGATGAGATTAGAGTGTAGGAATCCTGAACTGAGGATGCGGCCTGGTGGAGGCCCTTGAGAATACGTGGAATGTCTCGCTGCAGTTTGAGGAGCAACTCACACACTGCAAGTTTGCTAAAGGGTGGTGAGAGAGGGCCAGGAACAGAGTCGGTTAGTCACAGGGGTTTCTGAACAATGGAGACTCTGCAGGTGAACTGTAGTGAGCTCCAGCAGCCTGGGTGAGCTCTGACAACAACATAGCCCTTAGAGAGGAATTGGAGTGAGGGGGATGGTCCTGTTTTCAGTAGGCAGATGGCTGCCCTGTGGTTTCAGCAGAAACCTCTCCACCTCTCACCCACCCCTCAGATGTGAGACATCTGGCAATCCCATGGCCAAGGTGACATCTTACTGCAGAGTGCTTTAAAGTCTATAATTAGTCTCCGTGGTTGAATATTTAAACTGTGTTTTTATATGCAGTTTAATTTCTGCTGTGGCCTATTCTCTTTTGAAACTAAACCTACTGACCCTTAGCTTCCATTTCATTTCAGAGTAATGGAAATCCAGGAATTCGCTTCTGCAGTGGAAATGTGTCAGCCGTGCCCACGTTTTACTCCTCTATGAGCACCGCGGTCATCGTTTTCAAATCAGAAGTTTTCAATATAAACTCTAGAGTGGGTTTTACCTATCAGATTGCAGGTTAGCTTGGGGATTTAATCTTTTATTCAGAAAAACTGACATTACAATTGCTGCTAGAATTGACTCCTGTGAATAAATTAAGGTTTGTTGACACAAACCATACCCACATGAAATAAGAAGCCACTTTACCAGAAGACTAGCCCCATTTAGTAGATGATTAAAGCTGGCTTCTGAGGAGTTAAAGCAAATGAAATACTAATTAAAATGTTGAGAATGCAGGGTATTAAGTTCATGTTGTTAATTAAAAAATATACCAGTTACTATGTTAATTATGCTCTTAACCACATAAAGAAATCACTATGTATTAGAAAATTACTTTGGGAAAACCAAGGAGCCTTGAAAGAGTTACTTGTTCACTGTCACCAAGAAATTGATTTCCAAAGAACACTTTACATAATGTTCATTTCAAGCTTGATTAAAACCAAAGCTGCCTTTGATTAAAACAAACAAAAACACTCAGGGTGTTTTTACCAAAAATGGCCAAAAGCTATCATTTGCCAGTTGTATCAGAATGAACAATTCATCCAAGTATTTGAGGAAACATCCTCATACAAAACTCTGTCTTGGAGGTAGAGTCTGTATGTCCAGAGTCTAAATATCAGCCAACTCCACCTCCGGGTCATCAGAAAAGTGCAGAGAGTGCTAGAATGTTTGTCTTCATAGGAGAGTCTTCATATTTCACATTTCACACTAGGGTATTTTATGTTAAGACACTGCATGTGTTTGCCCAGCACGCTGTCTACCTCAGGTCTTGGGTTCTCAGTCATCTCAGAGGTAAATGGAGGAGCTAGATTAGCTTTTTTCTGAAGTTTGCTCCTATTTAATTATCTACCTGAACTATTCCTGTCAAGTTGAAGGAGCACTATTGGGATGCATACATTAATTACAATACTGTCTTTCCTCTAAGATTGCAATCGGGAATATAAGAAGGCATTTGGCAACCTGCGGAGTCCTGGCTGGCCAAGTGACTATACCAGTGACGTGGACTGCACAACTGTGCTCACAGCCCCCCACAACCACACCATCTCCCTCTTCTTTCACTCATTTGGCCTTGAGGACTCAAGTGGCTGCACACACGACTTATTGGAGGTAACACACACCTGAATATCATGTAGATGAATTATGTAAAAGATGCTGGATCCCTGAAGATTGGTCACCTTTTCCTCTGCTATTGCTAATCATATTCCTTCCTCATTTCATTAAATTGTTCATCATCCCTTCATCCCCTAAATACCAACCATCTCCAGGATTCAGACACGGGAAATCCAGGAGGGAACAAGACATAGTCAGGGTTCCCCGGAGGCTCACAAGCCCTGGGAAAGACAAGACAGGAAGTAGTCTGCTCTTGTTGACCAACAGCCAGCAGGTTAGGGGCACTTAACCCATCTGGGGACAGAGAAGGCATCCTGAAGGCACTAATGTGTGCCTTGAGACTGGAAGGACCAGGGGGAGGTCAAGTGCAAAGCGCTAAGTTTGGAGATGGATGATGGGTCTGACTTGATAAGAAATGATACTGAATAGTTTACCTGATTTCCCTGCTGGCCGCAGTATGTTTGGGGCCTCTCCAGTGTTCTCTGCGGAGAGTGTCTCCTTGACCGCCTGTTTGGCAGACGCAAGATGAATGCTCTGCTTCCTCCCCCTCCTCTGAAGCACCTTTGCTATTTGCCTGTCCTCCCCCACCCACCCCACCCTCCTTCCCCCCAAACACACTGAGAGAGAACTCTCCCTTGTCTGCAGCTCAGCACCTATATTTTGCTGTAAAAACCGTAGCGTTCTCTCCTGTGTCCTTTGCAGACTCTGTTGGAAATGTATTCATTCTTAGGAAGTAAACTGAGGTGCTGGGTAAGACTCATATCTACAAAGATGCTGAATCCCTCTGTGAATTGAATTCACACCTAAATCTTAACCCAAGAGTCCTGGCTATGTTTCACGTACATGCGAATCTCTGGCAAGGTTTCCAAAGAGTTGGTTTGTTCCCCTACCTGTTATGGAGTTTTATTATCCTGGAAAGCACCCCCCCCCCATAGAATTCATCTAAGTCCTTGGTTAAAGGCTATTCTCAACCTAGAGTGTAAAAGTTCTCAGAGGAAGCGTATGCCTTTTCATGGGGAACCTTAGCCATGGTAGAAACTGGGAGGACATGGATGTAGCAGGGAGGAGATGAGGGGACAGACTTGTTGGCATCAATCAGGTTATTAAACTCAGTACTACGTACGTACCCACCATGGAGGCTGAACTGTTCCGTGGAGCATAAAGCAGAAGTGAGAGGTGGAGTGAGACACAGAGAAAGGATGAACCGCCCAGGCAGTTCAGTCCCAGTGCAGCTACTCCTGGTTCACGTCAAGCCTGAGTTGCCGCTTAGAGACTAGAGTGAGCTCTGCTGTTTGCCTCTGGATGCTGGGAAGCAAGGGCGACTCCAGCCGCTGTGCCTTAACCCATAGAAACGGGTCTGAAACTTCCCATCCAATAAGCAAAGATGGAAAACTGCAGCTCAGGCCTGCAAAGCCCAGCTGTTTTTGGTTTTCAGCGGGAAGATTCTGGCACGGTTTTACTGCAGCCTCAGCATTCCATTCATGTTAACGATGATGAGAATGGAAATTTATCAGTGAAGATTCTGAATGCATTATACCCCTTGAAGGCCAAGCTCTCGACCCCATTTGAAAATCTGCCTTTGCCTTCAGCAACCCTTTCGGGCTCATCTGCACTCCCAGAGATGCTCTCTGCTCTCCTTGTCCCATTCCTTCTATGCAGAGAGAAATGAAAAGGACATTTCATTGGCATATTCCGTGAGAATGAATATCCCGCTCCTTCTCTTAGAGAATCAGCTTTCTAAAGAGGATCCAGAGGAAAAAGACCCATGTCCAGACTGGAGTAGGGCAGTTGGACTTCTGGCTGCTGACTGTGAACTGGCTGCTCCGCCCACAGCAAAGCTACTTTGTATAAACGCTTAGCAGAATAATCCAGAAAGGCCTTTTTCTCTCCTACTGGCTACTCTATAGACCTAAAAGGAATCTCCCCAGGGACTTCCCCTGTGGTCTAGTGGTTAGGACTCAGTGCTTTCACTGCTGGGGCCCAGTGTTTATCCCTGGTCGGGGAAGTAAGACCCACCACAAGTCTTGTGGTAAAACAAACAAACAAAAAAGCCGGGCTGGGGGTTATCTCCTGAGCAACACAACCTGACCAGACTACCCACCACACCTCTAAAGACACTCTGTGACTTAAGACAACCAACAATTAACCACATGTTAAACTATGGGATTATAAAGGGAACAGAGGCACTTTCAGGATTTTAAATACAGGGGGCAACTCAATAAAGTCAGCATCCATCTAGGAGGGGCTGGATCCAGCTCTACACTACTGGGTCATGTGTCTTCATAGCCCTCAAGAGTCCTCCAAGTGGGGCTGGTTGTGAATGTGTAGCGGGACCCAGGCTGGAGAGCAGAATTTGATTGAATTCACAGTGTGGTTACCACACTCACACGCCAGCTCGTTTCCTGTTTTCACGTGTGTCTACACAGTGCAATAATTTTTTTTTTTTAGAAATCTATTCAGCTTCACAGTTTATTTTTAAAATATATCTAAACAGTCAGAAATTTTATAGATTGTTTTAATTATGTCCTTTTCTCATAAAGAAATTCATTTTGTTTTGACTTTATCACACTTTGTATGATACACTTTTTTTTTCATGACCCCATTATAGTCAAGCCATTTTCAAGGAGAGATAAAAGCATAACTGAAGTATGATGAATAGAGTACAACAGAGTTAACTGGAAACAATGCAGATAATATTTTTCTCCCCGCATCTTTTTAAAGTTCACTTTAACTACATTCTTTGAAGCATCTTGCCAACAACTAAGATATAACTAGTTTGTTATACAGCAATCAACTAGTTGGTTATATCAGCAGAAACATGCTTTCGTGTTTTAACTGCTGGAGATGAATACATATTTCTGAATCCAAGTGTAAAATAGTTTTTGATCTACAAATTGCATGTTTCTCTCCTTTGCAAATGAAGGTGATGTCTGAGTGTAAGTATATATAAAAAGACAAAGTTTTTCTCAAAAAAGTTATTCAAATAGTCTCATGTCTTAATGTAGAGCAATGATAGATCAGAAAAGAAGGTACTATATGTTTAAGTGTCATCATTAATGCTACATTTTTAAAGGTCAGAAATGGAAGTGAGAGCAGTTCGCCGTTACTGGGCACATATTGTGGGACTCTGCTGCCAAATCCCATTTTCTCCCAGAATCATGAACTATACCTTCGATTTAAGAGTGATGGTGCAACTTCTGGTCGTGGATATGAAATTATCTGGACCTCTTCACCCTCCGGTAAGACACTGGCACTTTGTCAGGGCAAGTAATGCAGCTGAGAAAAACATACAGTGTCTCATAGAAAAGACAGTTAAAGGGACCTCATCTTTCTCCCCAATCTGTGTACTTGATCATTTTGTTAAAAATAGAGATTTTTTTTTTAAATGATGAAATTATAGATTTTAAAAATTCTACTTGTATTTATTATTTCTCTAAAGAATATATATCTACGTATGAGGCACAGATAAGGTATAAAGATTTTTGTAATTAGTTTGTAAATTTTGATTTTGTCATATTTTTAAAAAATTTTGTGTATTTATTTATTTATCCATTTATTTCTGACTGTGCTGGGTATTTGTTAGTAAGAGGGCTTTTCTCTAGCTGTGGAGAGCGGAGGCCACTCTTCACCGCGGTGTGTGGGCTTCTCATTGGGGTGCTTTCTCTTGTTCTGCAGCATGGGCTCGAGGGCGCAGGCTTCAGTAGCTGTGGTAGGTGGGTGCAGGAGCTGAAGCTCCTGGGTCTAGCACACAGGCTCAGTTGCTGTGGTGCATGGGCTTACAGCATGTGGGATTTCCCAGACCAGGCAGTGAACCTGTGTCTCCTGCACTGAGCTGCCAGGGAAGCCGATTTGTGTCATATTTTAAACTTTTGGTTTGCTCATCAAGGTGTACTTCTCTGAAAACTAAATAAAAGTTTGCCAAGATGTTACGATCACATACTTGAGTACATCTAAGCAGTTGTGTTCCTTGGAAGCTCTCTCATTTCTGGACAGTCCTGGATATTAATGGCTCTTACAGGGCAGTAAGCACCTTCCTGCAGTTTGGGTTGGCTGTTACTGATGAGTGAAGGAAATTTAAGTCATGTCAATACATTTAACTCAAGAAAGAAGGAATACTTTTATGAACTGTCCCCGAATATATCTAAAAACTTTCAAAATAAGAATGTGGAAACGATTCGTTTAAATATCCCAAGGGGACCACAAAAGGATTCTATCAAGACAATTGTGGATAATGATTTCTTGGTACTTGCACAAAAGTAAAAGGTGATCCCTATGCCCTAATTTTACAGATCAGGAAATAAAACACCCAAATGATGAGTTGCCTTAAACGCACAGTCAGACTGTGGCAGAGGCAGGCCCAAACCTCCACTGGTCTGAAACCCAGCTCTGTGCTCTTTAATTATGCTCCACAGTTTCTTCCTGTGTGCAGGGTATCTGGATGCCCACGCCATCTGGTCTAAATCATGATAGATTTCCTGTGCAAACTGACAAAATGAAAAAATTAACACCGACACTTAAAAAGCTTTGGCTTTTTTTTAGGGGGTGGGGGGAACTACCCTGGTGGTCCAGTGGTTAAGACTTTGTGCTTCCACTGCAGGAGATGTGGGTTCAGTCCCTGGTCAGGGAACTAAGACCCCCACATGTCACACAACTTGGCCAATAAAAAGGAAAAAAGAAAATAAACTTTGACTTTTGAAGCATATCAGTCTTGGAGCTGTCAGTTCTATGCCTGGTAAAGTCACTTTTATAATAATTACTGCCTCAATGGACATGAGTTTGAGCAAACTCTGGGGAATGGTGAAGGACAGGGAAGCCTGGCGTGCTGCAGTCCATAGGGTCACAAAGAGTCAGACACAATTGAGCAACTGAAAAGCAACAACAAATTACTGCCAAAACCTAAAATAAAATACCTCTTTCTGTGATCCTGCCCAAGAATTTCCCTTTTAATTTTACTTCACCCACATCATCACCAAGTCACTGCCTATGAATCAAAGTACTCAAGGTCAGTCCAAGTACCTATACCACCGAAGTACCCAAGATTGCCTTTACTCTCTCCTACATTTACTTTATCAAGGTCTTGGTTTTCCCATTGCGTTCTCAGCTCACTGTTTTCAGAAAACAGACCTGGAGGAAGTCGGTCCTAAGCGGTGATCTGCAGGGAAAGGACTTTATGGTGGAGGTGGGGGTGGAGAGGGGGAGGTGGTGAGGGAGGAGGAGGATGTAGCCCACAAAGGCACAGGAAAGGGGTTTCTGCCTCCACTTTTCCTGCAGGGAGTCTCAGCACCTTAAGAAAGTAAGTGCTGCGTTGGCTTAAGTGCAGTAAAGCACAGTGGATGGTTTCTGCTTGACTGAATCCAACTTCATGCCACTGTTTCCTGGCAGGCTGTGGTGGGACTCTTTATGGAGACAGCGGCTCGGTCACCAGCCCTGGCTATCCGGGCACTTACCCAAACAATACTCACTGTGAATGGGCCATCCTTGCTCCTGCTGGAAGACCGGTCACCGTCAGCTTTTACTTCATCAGCATCGACGATCCCGGAGAATGTGTCCAGAACTACCTCCTGCTCTATGATGGACCTGATGCTAATTCTCCATCCTCTGGGCCCTATTGTGGGGCAGTGAGTATAACCAGCTTTTAAAAACTCCAATGATCATTTTAAAATAATTAAAGTAGCTTTAAAGGGCATGTTTAAAGGCAGACACATGCAATCACAGAGCACAACATACTTTTACTAATACAAATTCAGTTTTCTGACCTTCCTGTTTATTTGGGGAGCACGAGTGCCACCTAGTGGACTTTTCATTAAATTAATAATGGTGGTTTAGTCTCTCTGTCATGTCTGACTTTAGCCCACCAGGCTCCTCTGTCCATGGGGTTTGCCAGGCAAGAATACTGGAGTGGGTTGCCATTTTCTCCTCCAGGGGATCTTCCTGACCCAGGGATCAAACCAGGTCTCCTGCATTACAGGTGGATTCTTTACCAACCCAGGCACCTGTATTATTAACTGTTACCAAACTTGACTATGCATCAAAATTATGTAGGCAGTTATTTAGCATCACAGACTTCCAGTCCCCATTCAGCCTATAGAATCAAAGTTTCTGGGGGAGCAGCTGTGGCCCACTGCTTTGTGGAAGTTGCATGTGTGGTTTAAAGGCACTGTCCAGGGCTGCCCATCCATGTTATTTCTGCATGACTAAAATTAGTCTTATCTCTGTACCTGCAGGGGATCAGTCCCATGACCCCCCCACAGATACCACATTCTCAGATGCTCAGATCCCTTATAAAAACTGGCCTAGTGAGTACAGTCCGTCCCCTGTATGTGTGGATTCTTTGTCCACAGGTGCTGTATCTGTTGGATCCTGTGGTTGGTTGAATCCGCGATGTGGAACCTGTCCTTACAGAAGGCTGACTGTATAGAAATTTTGAATGCCTGGCTCCATTCCATTCACTGCTTGCTGAAAATTGTGGGAATTCTTTGAAGAAATTCACAGGGATATTAACAGTTGTCCTGGGGACTGAGAGTTTGTTTTGGTAAATCTCAGATCTCCCCTGAGCCCTATAGTAGATTCTGATGTTGACTCAACATTGCTGCATCCTCCCTCACTGCCTTTTGTTTTATGTGCAAGTGGATGGATGTTTCCAGAGCTTCCGTGTGAGGGACGCATGACTACTGATGAGAAGTTAGCAGCTCCTTACTGTTTTGCTCTTTGCTCATTTATGCTTTCTGATCAAACTGACAGAGATTTGTCTCTGCTGGAAATCTAGAGTTTTTGAATATAACTTATGGTTTATAAAATTGATAAATGGTATTATCAAAACTGTTTTTTTAAAAAAAACCCACTTTTGTAAAACCCTGAGAATTCTCCCATATATTATTCTAAACACATTTGGGGAATATATTTCCATACACACATAGTTTATCCTGTTTTGTGGTTTGGTTTTTTTCCACTGACTGATACATTATTAACATCTTAACCATATCATTAGGCAAAGTGGTCTATCATATTTAATCACTGGGTGGTTTTCTGTTGCATGGGTGCAGCCTAATTTCTGGAACGAGGCTCCTCTGGTTTATAAACACATCAATAAACTCTCTGGTAGCTCTGTCCCTATACACAGAGCTAATTATTGAGGGAGAAATTTGGGTCACTTGACTAGTGGATACTGCCTTGCAGTTATTCACAGGGGCCCACAGAAAAGAGATCCTAGTAAATGAGTCACATGTCAGATTTAGAAGCTAACTAGGCCTAAAACATTTAGTTGAGGTTTGTAGGAATTCCCCAGTGGTCTAGTGATTAGGATTCAGTGCTTTCACTGCCATGGCCCAGGTTCGGTCCCTGCTGGTAAAGTAAGATCCCACAAACTGCACTGTGCAGCAAAAAAAAGAAAGAAAGAAAGAAAGAGATAAAGAAATCTGTGAAAATTTCAAAAAGAGATTATTTTCACAATATCATTACTTTATGTCTGTATGACTTTTTTTTTTTTTTTTTTGGTTTTCAGTGACTTTCAAATATACAACCCCATTTGATCCCTGGACTTTGCAGATAAAAGAAAACTGAGGCACTGAGAGAGATTACTGCCATTTAAACCAATGTCACATTAAATTCAAGTCTATTATTAGATATGTCTCCTTTTCTTAACTATTGATGTTTGTAGTATTTTCCCAGAAAATTTTAAATTTTCTTTAGTAAATTTAGACCTAATTTCCAGAGTAATTGTTTTATTTTTTAAAGATACCATTGATTTATTTAGTGTGTTAAGTCCAACAGGGTCAGTGTATTTACAGAAAAACAGTGGGAGTCCCTCCTTGGATAGCTAATCATACAATCATTGGAAAATGTTTTCTTTATGATAATTGTCATTGCTCACCGGCATCTGAGTTACAGAATCTGAACATCTAGAAGCATGAAAGAATGACAGGAAAGTAAGGAGGAGTTTAAATTTTTTTAAAGAGAAGGAGTTTAAAATTTTTCTTATCCGCTCATACTAGTTTGTCAGCACAGAATAACAAGTGGAAATCTGGGAGCAGGTTGAAATGGAAAGAAAAAGTGTGCGCACACAGCAATTGTACCATATCATGTATCCCTTGGTATCTCTTTTTAGGAGAAAGAATTCCTGTACTGTGCTCACCTGAATAATTTACTGTCTTGGAAATAAGTCTGGTTGTGTGTGTGTGTGTGTGTGTGTGTGTTTTGATGACTCTGGGTAGGACTGAGGCAGAGGACCTGAGCAGAACCAGAGGAGCAGGGCCCCAAACTGCAACCTTGACCCTGTGTGATGTGCTTTGCTTCTGTATGTGTTACTGACTTATTTCCTACCTCACCTCTCCCATTGGGATGTCAGCTTCATGAGAGCAGGGCTTTTTGCATGTTTGGTTCATTTTTTATATCCCTAGTGCCAATAACTAGAGAAGGAGAGAGACCCATCTACCCACTCTTTCCACACACACACATACACACACATACAGAATTGTTGCCCTTTTTGTGTGTTGGGTTCTTTTTATATCTCTAGTGCTAATAACTGGAAAAGGAAAGAGACCAATGTATCCACTCTTTCCACACACACACATACACACACATACAGAACTGTTCCCTTTTTGTGTGTTTGGTTCATTTTTTATATCCCTAGTGCTAATAATTGGAGAAGGAAAGAGACCCAGATACACACACACACACACACACACACACAACTGTTTCCCACAAAAGGATATGAAAATCATCCCCCAAAGGAAAGTACAGGTGTTGGTGAAGGGAGTAATATACTTTATTCAGATGTTCATTTTAGTTGCAGACATAAATTGTGTTTCCCATCAGAAAAATGAAAATTTCAATAAGAACTTGAATTGGAAATTGAAAGTTTAATGTCAGTTTTATTGAGATGCAATTCACATGCCATAGAAATCATCTACTTAAAGGGTAAAATTCAATAATTTTTAGTCAGTTCCCAGAGCCATTAAGCTGTTGTCACCATGCTTGATTTCAGAACATTCTTGTTACCCCAGAAGGAAACCCTGTATCCATTAGCAGTCACTCCCCATTGCTCCTTACCCCCCACCCCCAGCAATATTCTTGTGTAAAGTCTCTACATTAATACTTGGCAAGATCACTTCTAGACACATATGCAGGTTTACTGAAAATTCTAGAAGACTTCTTTATGTTGTACTTCTTTACTACATCTGACATTTCTGGGAAAATGTTCAAATTTGTGAAATATATAATTTGCTAACTCTCTTTTTTTTTTCAATTTTAGGACACTGATATAGCTCCCTTTGTGGCCTCATCACATCGTGTCTTCATAAAATTTCACGCGGAGTATGCAACCCGACCATCAGCGCTCCGGTTAACCTGGGCCAGCTAGCCCAGTGAGGCCAGGTCTGCCCAGCACCTTGGATTTTCCGCAGGGGCTGGACCCTCAGGCCTCACGCTGGACAGGATACCTGCCCCTCTGCCTGTTCCACTAAGAATAATCTGAACTTTTATGTATTTCATCAAAGTACACGTGGAATCAACATTTGTACTTATTTTTTGAATGTAGAACATAGCTTCTTTAAATCTACTATTTTGAGCTGAAAATTTCTAGAATCCCTTACAAGGCTGGAAATGATTATGGCCTGTGTGCTGTACATTTTCAGAAGTTAATTAAATAGAAGTATGGTTTTCTTTGTGAATGTCAAACTGGGGATGATAAACGTTACTGAAATCTCAACAGTAGTGTTGCATGCTTTTTTTTTTTTGACTCACTGAAATTTGTCTCCCACTGTAGGTCTGTGTAAAACTTCAAGTTGAATAGTTCCATTTTGACAAAGGGTATGCCTCGTTCAGGATCGCGACTCCGGAGCCAGGTTGCCTGCATCTGAAGTTTAGCCTTTCCAGCAGCTTCCTTAACTCTCTGGGCCAGTTTCCCTATGTGCCACTGTTGTCTATTTGGCGTTTAACTACATGAGATGTGAAGTTACACCTAGTTAGGCATGCTTTGATCAAGCATTCTGCTACTTTAAATCCGGAGACATTAGGTTAAAAATACAAAGTTAACTCTTATGAAGAACATGGGACCAAATGAAAAAGATCCTATCAAATGTGCCACTTCATCTTCCTCTGCTACTCAAACACCAGGGGAATGATACCTGCACAGACTACAGAGCCACCTAAATGAGATAGTCTCACCTTAGCTCTATCATGGGTGGATAAATCAACTTTGTGGATGACTCTCTATTGGAAAGAGTGGTGAACATGATGAAGAGACCATCAAACCCAAGTTCTTGACAAAGCTGGAACAGTGGGCTGAAACTCTGGAGACGAAGTTTGATGGGAATAGATACAAGATTTAGCTTTTTTATCTAAAAATGAATCACAGAGGTACAGAATCTGGAGAAAGTTAACAATAACCTATAAAATAGTAGTTTTATCTGAAAGCAAGATTAGCATATGCAGCTGTCAAACAGTAAGAGATGATTGGATCTGTGATTGCACCATTAGCGTAATGGCGTCTACAAAAGTCATTTTAAAAGAGTTATTTCTAGGAGGCAGGTAAGCATATTCAGAAAGTGCATCTACCAAGCAAAGACAACATAGTCAATCTTAGTATGTAATTTTTAAACTAAAAACAGAAAATAAGAGTATTTTCTCTCATTCTGTAGGCCATAAATGGAATCCAAAAACAACGATGACAACAACATAATATAAAATGAATGGGCTTGAAGAGTGGATGAGGGGCAGTCTGTCTTGGAAGTAAACGGAGCTCAGGAGTCAGGGGAGCCAGACTTCCACCCACCATGTGATCTTTTCCCCTCTTCTTGTCTGTCTCCCTAAAGAGCTGGGCTTTAGTGGGAAGAACTGGGCACCTGCCTTTTGGTCTTCAAGGTTACGTTAGCCATCACCGGACAGAGTCACCCTCATCTGACCTTCAGGGAACTGCCTGGGATAAGTCAGCCAGAGGCCACCACAGGCCAGGGATCTCTTGGCACTTCAGGCACCTATGAAGGAAACCCCAGGGATGGATGTGCCAATGTTAGTTTGGGGCTGGATGATGGCTGGGTTACTCGTTCTACTTGTCATCATCTCCTAAATTTCAACTCTATTTTATTAGTCAAAGGAGCTTGTTAAAAATCCACCACATGCTCTTCAAGGGAGTAGTAACATAATGAATTTTATTAAGAAAAAGGAGAACTCACATCAATAGCATTTGCTCTATGCCAGGCATCCTTCTCTCATCACTCATGGAAATCTAAGAACAATCACCTCCATTTTACAGTTGAGGAAAACGAGGTACGAAAAAGTTTGCAAAACCTAGTGATGGAATGGTGATTTTAACCTCAGCAACCACCCAAGAAAGTGCCTCCCATCCAGCCAGAAGGATTAAGTGTGAACGTATTAAGTATGACAGCCTGACTATCTTCACAGATCCAGTGACATTATTAAAAAAATATGGCCTGAAAATTTTTTGATGCAATTGCTGTTATTTTAGTAAAAATGTAGAGATTATACTGAGTCAAAGATAGTATTAAAGGAAGAAAATGTTTTACTTATTGAGACTTCAAATCACTCCATGTCTACAATTTAACGGGACAGTTATTGGAAGAAAAATGGTATGATAATTTTTGGATATTAATGAGAAATTGGCTTTTCAAATTTTAATTTCATACCTTTATGTGTTTCGTTGTAAGTAGTTTATTATAAACCCGGGTTAGAGACTACAAAAGTCATTGAAAAAAATAATTTTATTTATTTATTTTTGGCTGTTCTGGTTCTTCATTGCTATGTGGGCTTTTCTCTAATTGAGGTGCGTGGGGGCTACTCTTTAGTTGCATTTTCATTGTGGCGACTTCTCTTGTTGTGGAGTGCAGGCTCTGTCACAGCACCGGCTCAATAGCTGTGGCGTATGGCTTTAGTTGCTCTGAGGCGTGTATGATCGTCCCAGACCAGGGATTGAACCTATGACTCCTGCATTGGCAGGCAGATTCTTTACCACTCAGCCACCAAGGAAGCCCCTACAAAAGGCATTTTCAAAATGAATGATTTATATAATAACTTACTTGAATTTCACCCATTGTTTTTGCAGTCCGGAGTGCTGATATCGAGCAGGAACCTGTGGGATTTCTGGGCCTTTCTGTGTGTTGGGTGTTTCTTGATTACAGAAAATAGGCTTTAATCAGCCTCCGTGACCTTCCCTGTGCTTGAAGGAGCAGGTTCAAATAGCTGCTAATTAGGGAAGAGAGGGATGTGGAGACTCTCTGTCAAGAGACAGTCAAGGAACTGTCAAGAAACAACAGCGAAGCCCTGGTCCACCAGGTGGGAGAAATTAGTGGTAAGCTGCCCATGGGCGCGTGAGCCCAGACTGCTTGGAACCAGGAGGTCGATGCCGCTGACTCCCACTTACCTCACCACCAGCCAATCTGGAGAATGTCCGGGAGCAGGTCACACCCTCTTTGAACCAGTCCTGTTCCTCACTACACCCTCTAGGTTGGGAGAGTTGATTTTTTTTTTAATTACTTAATTTATTTGAATTGGAGGATAGTTACTTTACAATATTGTGATGGTTTTTGCCATACACTGACATGAATCAGCCAGGGGTGCACATGTGGGACACAGTTTTGAGGGCATTAGCCTGCTCTTCTCCCTTCTGCCTGGCAAAGCAGTAAAGCTTTTCTACTGCACCCAAAACTCTGTCTCCAAGAATTAATTTGGTGTCGGGGTACAGAGGCCGGATTCAGCTTCAGTACCTCGGGGAACCAGGCATCGCCCTTGATTGTCCTGGACTGACCCACTCTGGGGGCTCGCAGGCAGGGGTAGGACATTCCCCCCAAAAGAGAATGAAGCACAGACTTTGTGTAAGCATGGTGCGCTTGGCAGTGACACTGCAGGGGCGATTTCAGCTCTGATAAATACTTTTCCTTGCAGGTATAGCTACCTAATTTGCAGGGCCCCTGGTTCAAAAAGTATTAAACATCTCAAGCTGGTGACATCAGAACAAGAAACTAACTGTGGGGCCTGTTTAAGCCTGGAGTTTTCTGTCACTGTGTACAGTTTGCATATCCAGGAAGCCGGTCCTGTTTCCGTGTTATAAAAATCTGGAACTTAGGGACATATTTCATTAAGAATTGTACTGGTGAAAAGTGAAAAGAATGGAAGAAGGTTATAAGGGAGTGAAAATGAATTTCTGGGAAACTGGAAGTGAATGCGAACATGAGGAAGCAGCCTTGTGAAGACCATCTTCTAACCTATGAAGAAATTTAACAAATAGCCCAGGAAAATTAATGATGATCTAAGAGGGAAACAAATACACATCAACAATAGAGGAGGAAGTACAGCACAACAGCTAGTTAGAAAAATCAGCTCAGGTTTCATGCTTAAATACAAAAGGAAAACCAGGAGACAGCAGACAGAGGAAAAGTTACAGCAGCCGGAATGGGAAAGAACTAGAAAAACTAACAAAAAGTGGGACATGAGGAAACAATTTAGTAAACAGAAGAAAGGTTTAAAAATTGCTATCCTCAGAGACATTTGAGAAGAGTGTGCATTCATGAAATAAAAGCAGGGCACTATTAAACAGGGAGGGCTTAAGAAGCATATTTCATTAATAGTCAAAACAACTTTAAAAAATTTAATAGCTTTAAAAAATTTAATATCTTTGCAAGATAAAATAGAGAAAATCTTCCAGAATGTTAAGTTAAAAAAAAAAAGTGTGTGTGTGGGGCGGGGGGGGGGGGGGGGGTGTTAAATGTATAAAGGGGAGAAAAAAACCCCAGCTACCGAAAACTGTCCCAGGAAGCTGCCATATGAAAAGATTTCCAAGAGTGATAAATCATAGAAAATGGTAGGAAATTTCAAAAGAATAACTGAAAACAATTTCCAGAGAGGAAGAGAGAAATGAATCATCCTCTGAAAACGACCCAATGAGCACTGAAGAGATTAAACAAAAAAAGAGCTTCCATCAGAGAGATTATGGTGATGAATAATAAAAAGATCACAAGTGCTTCTCAAGGGGAAAAAACAGTTTACTGCAAAGATTTAAGGAGACGTTTCTGGGCACCAACATCGAAAGCAGAGGTCACTGGAACTATGCCATTGAGATTTAAGAGAAACTGATTTTGAACATAGAATTCCATGCGGAGCGTGGGCAGAAAAAGGACATTTAAAACATGCAACTACTTAACATTTGTGCCTCTTATACATCCTTTTAGAGAAGGTTACCTGAGAGTAGCTACTCAGCAAGGTGCCTAGGAGAAATGTCTGTTTAAACCCAGGAACCAAGTTTTAAAAAGTTACAATCTCTCAGCTGGAAGGACAAAGAATCAGTCCAGGTTACAGCAGTATATTAGTACGTTCCTAAAGTCTTCAGGAAGAATCCATTGGATTTCAAACAGTGGAGAGTAATGAAAAGCTTAAGGTTACAAGAAGAAAAAAAACAAATTCTAGTTAAAAAAAAAACAAAACCCAAAACACAAAGAAAATTGTTCGAGGAAATCATCATTCGACAGAAAGCAAACTAAGCTATGACATAGCATAAGAACAGAGGGGTCACGTATTTATCATATGTCTATTCCGTGTCCTGTGGCTCAAGGCTCCATGATTGCGACCTGGACGCCAGGGACACACACACCATCAGACAATTCTTGCTTTCAGGAGCTCAAAATATACCGGGAGGCACAACTGTGGGGAAAGGATTCAGGGCAGCAGCTTCCAGTAAGTTAAAGAAATAGCACACTGAGAGAATATTGACTTGTCACTTGCCTCTGACCCAGCCTGAACCCCTGCCCAGACTTCCCTGATTCCGCCCACAGAACGCTGGCTTCCACCTACAAATTGAGCCTGCGCACGCGTCGGCTTCTCTCGGATCGGAAGCCTAACCTGGGGGGCGGGGCACTAGCCATGGGTGGGGCGGAGTCTCCAGGTCGAACAGCATACATGATTGGCTAGCCGCAGGGCACGCATTCTTTTATGGGCGGAGCCTCGCCCTGAGCCACGTCTAGTAAGCTGGTCTCCTAATTAGGGAAGGGCCGGGCGTGGGCGGAGCCTGGAGTTGCTAGCGGTCCGATGTGCGCCTGCGCGGAGTGCCGGGACAGGGCGTGTTCCTCGTTTGGGTGCTCGTTTTGCACAGACCGAGCGCATCTCTCGCCGGCCACCGGAGTGAACCCTGCAGAAGTCTGTAGTTTGTGCCTATTAGGTGCAGCCCTCCGCAGTGAGTGTGTGTGTGTGGTTGCAGTTGTGTTTGCTTCTCCGCGGCGGGAATGGTGCTGGACCCTCCCCATTTCTCTGTACCTCGCTCCCCGCCCCCCATCCTTGTTCCCAGATCCTGCCCGCCGCTGCCCACTTCCCAAGACCTGGGGAAAACTGGAGAGTGCCAGCCGGGGGCTCCCTCATTTCTCTCCCTGCACCCTTCTGGCCGTCGCCCACGTGCTTTGTTGTTTGGTACAGGTCATGTCCAAGTCTCTGAAAAAGTTGGTGGAAGAGAGCCGGGAGAAGAACCAGCCGGAAGTGGACATGAGTGACCGGGGCATCTCTAACATGCTGGACGTCAACGGCCTGTGTAAGTTCTCCGGAGGGCCTTCCTCCCAGAGAGGGTGGACGGGTTTATCAGTTTAACAAGTAACTGCTGGTGGCGGTGCGAGACATTCTGATGGTCCACCCCACCTGGTGCTTGTAAAGGGCACTGTCTATGGCTTAGCTCAGAAAGCTTGCAATCAGATTTGTTCTCTCAGCTGGAAAACGGGCACGAGAGCCAGGTTAAGAATCACACGGACTTGTGGATCTCATCATTTGTCCATGCTGATTGATTTCGGGTGGATTTTCCAGTTTACTAAATAGCCACTTGGTGTTTTTTTTTTTTTTAATAATTTTTATTGGAGCATAGCTGATTTATAATGTGCTGGTTTCTGCTGGACAGCAAAGTGATTCAGTTATACAGATACATACATCCACCCTTTCTTAGATTCTGTTTCCATATAAGTCATTATAGAGTAGGAAACAGTTCTCTGTGCTATACAGTAGGTCCTTATTAGTTGTCTTATACATAGTAGTGAGTATATGTCAAACCCAATCTCCCAGTTTTCCTCCCGTTCCCCCTTGGGGAAGTTTTCTACACCTGTGACTCTGTTTTGTAAATAGGTTCATTTGTATCATTTTTTTTTTTAGATTCGGCATAAAATTGATATAGATATTTGTCTTTCTCTGTTTGACTTCACTCATTGTCTATCCATGTCACCACGAATCACATTATTTCGTTCTCTTTCATGGCAGAGTAGTATTCCATTGTATAAATGTATCACATCTTTATCCATTCATCTTTCAATGGACATTTTGGTTGCTTCCATGTCCTGGCTATTGTACACAGTGCTGAACATTGTATCCTTTTGAAACATGTTTTTCTCCAGTTATAAGCCCAGGAGTGGGATTGCTGGATCATATGGTAGCTCAATTTTTAGCTTTTTAAGGACCCTCCAGACTGTTCTCCGTAGTGCCTCTGTCAATTTACATTCCCACTAGCAGTGTAGGAGGGTTCCCTTTTCTCTACACCTTCTCCAGCATTTATTGTTTGTTTGTAGCCATTTTGCAGAGTTGAGTCATTGGAAAAGACCCTAATGCTGAGAAGGATTGGGGGCAGGAGGAGAAGGGGACAACAGAGGATGAGATGGCTGGATGGCATCACCAACTCGATGGACATGGGTTTGGGTAGACTCCAGGAGTTGGTGATGGACAGGGAGGCCTGGCATGCTGTGATTCATGGGGTCACAAAGAGTCGGACATGACTGAGCGACTGAACTGAACTGAGACATTTTGATGATGGCCATTCTGATCAGTGTGAGGTGATACCTCATTGTAGTTTTGGTTTGCATTTCTCTAATAATTAGTGATATTGAACATCTTTTCATGTGTCACTTGGTTTTTTAATGGGAAATTATTTCTGAATCATTTTCCATTGTCTCTTTCCATGTGAAAGTTACATGATAAGTAAGTTAAGCATTTCTTGACTCATTATCTTTTTCTGTTTTTTTCCTTCTGACTTAGTTCAGGCTTTTGTTTCTTCCTCCTGTGCTATTGTGCTGTCTTCATAATGTTACTTCTCACCTCCACTTTTACTGCCCTTAAGTTTTTATTTTGTATTGGAGTATAGCCGATTAATAGTGTTGTGATAGTTTCAGGTGGACAGCAAAGGAACTCAGCCATACATTTACATGTATCCACTCTCCCCCAAACTCCTCTCCCATCCAGGCTGCCATGTAACATTGAACAGAGTTCCCTCTGCTATACAGTAGGTCCTTTTTGGTTACCCATTTTAAATATAGCAGAGTATACAGGCCAGTCTCAGACTCCCTGACTATCTCTTTCCCCATCCTTCCCCCTAACTGCCCCTGTATTTTAAACACTGTATAGCTTTCAGTGTTATTTCCCTGTAACAGGCATCTTATTGCAACTCTCTCCTTTAAACCGGGGATTACAATCTCAGATGCCTTCAGGTTAGTGCCTTGGACAGAGATCAGGGTTGGTGTCATTGATATATCTCTATAAAAGGCGAGAGAATGGAAAACTGTCGGTGATTTGCATTCGCTAGTCCTTTGGAAGACACTGGCCATGAAGGTTAGCATCTCAGCCTCCTGTAATGTGTTGATTGCTCAGTGGTGGTGGCTTCTTGGTGGCAGCGACAGCGCAGGGGTCTCAGGTGCTGAGCTGACGGGTGGGAACATCAATGTGTCCCCTCACTGCCCTGCGGGGTCACAGTGGTCACCAGGCACACGGCTGCGTCAGAAGAAGATGCTGAGGAGCAAGCAGGAGGCCTGGCTCAGCTGTGCCCTTGGCCCCATGGCTCTATGCTCCTCAGGATGTCTCTCACGGGCTCGAAAAAAGGTTGCTGTCACTAGAGGAACTCTGTACTCCTCAGCTTTGAAAAGGGTTCTCTATGTTATATTTATAAGTCAGGAGAGTGGCGGAGCTATTCCAGTTCAGTTGTTTTATCTCTTTGAAGCCTTGGCTTGTATTGAAGAAGAAAAGATAGCCACTTGCTTCCTGAAAAAGCTGCTTCCGGTGTAATATTAGGTGCTGAAAAGCAAGGTCATTCTTCACATTTTCCCAGAGAAGTTGCTTCAGGAAGAGCAAGAGTGCTTCTTGGGGAGTTCAGTGGCAGTGAATTTGGACACTTTGCCTCCATCCTCTGGAGTGGGCTAGACCTAAGAAGTGACCGCTTTCTGCAAGATACTCCCTGACTTCTGGAGTCTGGAGGGTGCCAGGATGCCTTCAGGACCCCACCCTCCACTGGGGCTCAGTGGTCAGTAGTGTACAGAATGCTTACTCCATGTACTTTAATATCTTAGGTATTAAAATATTTGGCATGATCACGTTAGCTGCACTATAAGGATTCCCATAGTCTTTTGCTTAAAAAATTCTGACTGTAATCATGAGGTTTTATGTATTGTTTTTTTGAATTTATTTTGTTCGTTCAGATTGTGGGATCTTACTTCCCCGACCAGGGATTGAACCCAGGCACAGTTGTGAAAGTGTGAAGTCCTAACCGCTGGGCTGCCGGGGAGGTCCCCAAGGTTTCATGTGCTAGTATCAGGATTGAACCCAGGGAACAGCTTATTTCCACGGACAGAGAATGGTTATTGTATCTCAAGCTTTCCATTCATTATCTTTTTTTAGTTATTTTAATTTTTTTATTTTTGCCATACTGTGTGGCATATGGGATCTTAGTTTCCTGACGGATCGAATCTATGTCCCCTGCAGTGGAAATGCAGAGTCTCAGCCTTTGGACCACCAGGGGAGTCCCTCTGTTTGTTATCTTTACTTTTAGTTTCTCTAAGAGCAGGAGTTAAGCCTTGAATCTAAGAGTGGCTGTTGCATACTTATTCTAAGCATAGGAAATAGGCTTTGTTTCTGCTTGGAAAGTTGGGTCTTATAAATCCAGCACTTTCCTTGCTCCAAGGCAGTAAATTGCCTTTCAAAACTGCAACTTTGGAGTTGAGGTATCAAAAGCTTTCTGATAAAAACTTCCTAGGCTGGAGACAGACATCAGCCAGGTTTTAGAGTTTTCTGTCAGTCCAGTCGGGTTCTGGGGATGTCAGATCTGACCCTGAGAGGCAGACATGGTCCAGTGCTTACAAGTGGGGCCTTGGAGCCGAATAGACTGGGTTCAGATTGTCCATCTTATCACTGTGTTACTTCAGAGAAATGACATACCTTTCTGAGCCTCGAGTGCCTCCTCATTAGATGGAAACATAAGTACAGGTGGCGCTAGTGGTACAGAACCCGCCTGCCGGAGCAGGAGATGTGAGAGATGAGGGTTTGATCCCTAGGTCAGAAGACCCCCTGGAAGAGGGCATGGCAGCCCACTCCAGTGCTCTTGCCTGGGGAATCCCATGGACAGACGAGCCTGGGGGGCTACCGTTCATAGGGTCGCAAAGAGTCGGACACCACCGAAGGGACTTAGCACGGTATACCACAAGTACCCACTTGGCACTGGTTTAGACCTGAGTGCAGGGCTTCATGTCACGTGCTTAGCACCGAGCCCAGTACTGAGTACACAGTGACTGTTAACTGTTCATACGAATGTCCAGAGAGCATGTGTAAGCCTCAGGTGTAACCAGTCCCAGCACAGTCGCTGGTCTGGACTGAGACTAGCTAGGTTAGGTAGATGAGGTAAGACATCTCTGTGTGTTACGTGTTGATGTTTTCTATGCAGCTTAATGGACTCCAGTGTGTTTTAGCCCTTTGGGTGGGGTTTTCAGGGATTTCCATATTACTGTTTCTCTGAAATGATCCCTCATTTTCTTTCTTTCTTTTTTTTCTTTTAAACCTTTTATTTTTATGGCCATACCATGCGGCATGTGGGATCTTAGTTGTCTGACTAGGGATTGAACCTTCAACCCCTGCAGTGGAAGTACAGTCTTAACCACCAGGGGAGTCCCTCATTTTATTTCTTTTCCTTTTTTTTCTGCATGGCATGTAATATACACATTCTCCTTAAAGCTTTCAGGAAGAATGGTATAATCTTGTACTTTTTATTAAAGAGATTTCATGAGGAAACTCTCTCCCATGCAGCAACTCTTCACCCGGATAATAAAGTTACTCTTGAAGGGCCCTGTAATCAGCTTCCTGGGAGTCTCAGGAGCCAGAGAGACTGTTTTTCATTTCTTTAAAGACTTTTGTGACTTTTTAATCTCTTCGCATTTATTGCGCTCTGGGTGTCAAACTTTTATCAGGTCCCCCCCCCCCCCACCCCAGCTAGGACTTAAATGTCTCTCAGATAAATTTTAAAAGAAAAAAAATCAACCACCTGTGAGGCAATTGTTTTTCTAAAGGAGTGTGCAAAAGAATCAACAGATATAATCCTGGCTTGGTTATCTGGAGGAGTTGTTAACCCAGGAATGTGATGCCTCTTGGGGATTTTTCATCATGATAGGACTTTTTAAAATTTATTTTTTACTTTTACATTTTGTCTGAGACATTGGCATACAGGATCTTAGTTCCCTGACTTGGGATTGAACCTCTGCCCCCCACTGTGGAAGCATGGAGTCCTAACCACGGCACTACCGG